TTGAAGCTCAGAGGGACTCAGCGACACTGCTAGGGCTTCCCTTTGGATTCAGGTCTTATGGCTCCGAAGCCAACGACTTTGAATTTGCTAATCTGGGAAAGTGGAATGCCAACTTCTCTCATGAGTGGTTCTATCTAAGGACTTTGGAGGAAAGAGAAAAGTGGAAATGGAAACGGGAAAGGGCAGGCAGCTTTGGGCTTACAATGTGATAATCCATGTCTTTTTCTCACTATTTTGGGCTGCGGCAGAAAACCAGAGAGGTGTATGGGAAGGAGCCGTGGGAGTGTGAGGAAGAGGAGCTGGCGGAGATCCTGGTGAGCAGCGGGGCTCGCGAGGGTGGGCTGCCCGGGTGCTCACGCGTGTGCGTGGGCGTCGCTCTTCAGTGCCTGCACCCAGCAGTGCTCAGATGCACCCAGCAGACCTGGCGTGCAGGCAGACTGGTGGTAGTACGGGAGACCTAGAAACACTTCATGTCCCCTAATCACTTGGCTTGATTGCTTATACAGCAAGGTGAGCTGCCAGATGCAGAGAAATTTGAAATTAACAAGTTCCACTTCAGCGACTTGCCCCTCACAGAACTGGAGCTGGTGAAATGTGGGATACAGATGTATTATGAACTCAAAGTGGTGGATAAATTTCACATTCCACAAGAGGTAAGTTCAAACAGATACCCTTGCGCTCTCGCTCTCTTTCTCTCTCCCCCCCCTCCCCCTACTCCATCTGTATACTTCCATAAAGAGTGCGCTCTCAGCGTCTGCGATGTAAGCGCTGCCACATCCACAGCTGAGTCCTCAATCGGTGGCAACACAGCGTCTCTCACAATTGCAGAGCTGCAGCTGCTCTTGCTTCTTGCAGCGGCTTCCGAGGCACGGACGCTGAAGGCTGTGAATAAATGAATGGTAAATTCAGGTGGGAAATGTGTTCCTCTCAAATCGGGCTTTTGTCCTGCAGGATTCCCATCAAATGTGTGTTATGAGTCTCAGGGGATAGGAAATGGGGATGGGGTGGGGGTGGGGCACAGAATTTTCCTGATTGACCACATGGGAGTTAGCAGAATATAAACACGCAGGGCCGGAGGTATAGCTCAGCGGACTAAGCACTTGCTTAGGTAAGCGCAGGGCCCAGGGTTCAACACCTGGCTCCCCCTGCCGCACCAGCCCCGCCTTCCGGTGCGCTGAGCCGGTGATGGAGTCCGGGCGCGGTGGCGAGCGCCTGTAATCCCAGCACTTGGGAGGCAGAAATCAGGAGGATCGCTACTGATGTGGGCTATGTAGGGAGACCTTGAGGAAAAAAAGAAAGAAAAAAGAAAATCCACAGAATATAAACACACACACACACACACACACACACACACACACACACACACAAGCACACATCGGCTGTAATGAATCAGAGACTATTTTGTCGAGCTCTTCAGGAGGTACGGCTCACTCGGGTTTGAGAACTCCAGGATTAGGAGCCCTTGTGCTTTCTGCCTAGGTAAAGTGCCTGTTGGTTTGGCCCTGGTCAGTGGCTCTCTGGGCACAATCTGGGAATCACTGATGAAGCTCAACCAATAGCATAAGCCCAATGACTCAGGCTCCTCGAGTTCCCTAACAACATCGTCTTCATTTGGCAAAACGCCTTGTAATGTCTCTACGTCCACTGCTGGTTCCCACCTCACAGTCTAGGGAACACTGCCTCACTGACGTGCGCGTGTTTGCAGGCCCTGGTGCGGTTCATGTACTCCCTGAGCAAAGGCTACCGCAGGATCACCTACCACAACTGGCGGCATGGCTTCAATGTGGGCCAGACCATGTTCTCCTTGCTGGTGGTATGTAAGGGCAGACCTGGCCAGTGGGGTTGGGGGAGCATGGGCCACATGGGACAACCTCATGCAGATTCCACCCGCCAGCAGCCACATTGCTGTTCTTTATTTATTGCCTTTTAAGAAATTTCGAAGCAATACCTGCATGAAAGAATTCTAAGAAAACAGAAGCATATCACACAAAACAAGAAAAGAAGCAGCAGGTTATCCCCAGTCCCAAACTGGTGATGATTATTGAAGATAACTGTGACACAAATCTTCCAAAATTTCTTTCTGTACAGAGAGAGAGAAAGAGAGAGAGAGAGAGAGAGAGAGAGAGAGAGAGAGAGAGAGAGGCTGGGGAAATAGTTTGGTGGAATAAGAGCCTGCCTGACAAGCACAAGGTCCGGAGTTCGATACCCAGCACTGCATGTTGTGACGGTCCCAGAACTAGGCATGATGGCACAGGCCTGTAATCACAGCTCTGGGGAGGCTGAGACAAGAGGATCACTAGGAATCTGAACTACATGGCAAGACCCTGTATCAATTTAAAAAAATATATATGCTACTGTTTTTTTTCTATTTGTATATGCATAAATATCAGTCATATTATTTCATTATATATGCATACACATAAAACAATTTTATATGTTTATATGTATTTAGTACAGGGTCTACAGGGTCTTACTATACAGATTGGACTCACAGTGATTCTCTTGTTTTCAGCCTTCCAAGCCCTGGGATTACAGGCATGTGACACCACACCCAGTCTCAATTGCTGTCTCAGCACAACCTGGGGGCAGGGCCAGCACAGCATGCCAGGGATCAAACCCTGGTCTCTGTGCTCTGCCTAAACAGGCACTTTAGTCCACTGAGCTATTTGGCTGGCCATGGATATATGTTTAAATGTTACATATAAAACATAAAATTTATCATTTTAATGATAAATTTATCATTTAATTTATCACTTTAATTGATGATACACATTTTTATATGCACAGTTCAATGAATTTATGTACATTCACAATATTTGCAACTTTCACCATCTCCAAATTTTTTTTAACATTTCAAACAAAAATTCTATTCTCATTGAATAGTAGCTCCAATTCTTCCTAAGCTCCAGCTCCTGGTAGCCACTATTCTATTTTCTATTTCTATGAACTTGGCTACTTTTAGATACCTCACATAAGTGGAATCATATGGTATTTGGAATTTTGTTCCTGGCTTATTTCACTCAACCTATCTTCAAGGTTCATCCATGTTATGATCTTATGCCTGCAGAGTAGCTCATCCCTTGGTCTCTAGGGGTGATTTATTCTAGGATCTCCTGCCCCACAAACTAAAAGAGCATTTCTGTTTTCCTTTTCTATAAAGAACCTGCTAATTTTGTGGGTGCTCAACTTCCTTATATAAAATGACAAAATATTTGCATATAACTTATACAACCTATTTGCAAAATCTCCTATCTCTTTAATCCATCTCTAGAGTATACACGGTACCTAATACAATGGATTGTTATGTAAATAGTTGCTATAACACACAGTTTAGGAATAATCACAAGAAAAAGTTGTCATGTTCAGTACAGACGCAATTAAAAATAATTTGACTCATAGTTGGTTAAATTGAGATGTGGAATAAACAAGACACAGAGGTATAATTATATTCTTTTATTTAAATATACTACACTTACTCAACCCAGAATTCTATTGTTGGATATAAGGCTATTTTCAATCTTTCATTCTGTCAAACTGCTACAGTATTCTCGGTTAGAGATATCCTGTGTATTTGTGTCAGCATTTTTGGCTCAGAGTTCAGAGCCCTAGATCTTGCATTGCAAAGTGTTTCTCCATGAAAAGGCTGACAAAAGTCTCTTGTCTGGCTCGGGCTGCCTGTTACGTTCCTTTCCCTTCAGGCTAGAGCACGTGCCAGTGATGGAGGGTAGACCTGTGGCCAGGCCACTAGAAAGTAACAAGGACTACACTTAGATTTGGTTTATTTCTTGGGTCGGCATCAGCCCTCCAGGGCTCTTCTGCACCCTATGTTGTAACAGCAGCATCAACAAAGGCTGAGTATGTGAAGAAGTCCAGGGAAAACTTCTCTGGGATGTGCCGAAACCGGCAGACCAGGTTTGGAAGGTTTGTTCTACCAGTCTGTTCAAAACTTTCCAAGTCTTGATGCTTGATGGCTGAAAGTTTTTCAAAGGTCATCTAGTCCAGAATCTTCCACCTACAATGTGCATACCAGAATACTGAGGGCCAGTATTCACTTAGGAATAGGGACAACCAGTTGCCCCCGTTTGCCTGGAATTGTCCTTGGTGTAGTGTTGAAAATCCCACATCTGGAAAACTCCCCAACCTGGAGCAGATCTCCGGTCCCCTGTGGAACTAGGCATAGAGCAAGATCAGACACACACTCCTAAATCCCAGGCCCTCTTCCCTCCACTTGCCCTCTCAGCCCTGCTCTCATGCCCCACAAAATGGGAGTGACTCTGCAGTCCCCTGATTCTGATTGCTTTTGCAGACAGGAAAGCTAAAGCGATACTTCACTGATCTGGAAGCCTTGGCCATGGTCACTGCTGCCTTCTGTCATGACATTGACCACAGAGGCACCAACAACCTCTACCAGATGAAGTGAGTCAGCCCTTATTGCCTCTCCCACTTTCCCACCACTCTGTTCTCCCAAGACTCATTAACCCAAGTCTGCCAGGCCCCCCAGACTGATGAGTCAAGGGAAAGTCCCTCTTCCTGCCCTTGGGACCTGAGTCCAGTCCTATGGTAGACAGAAAAATGACCTCCAGAGATGATCGGCTGTCATACCCCAGACCTGAGGGTATGTCATCTTACATTTAAAAGGGAGTTTGCTGATGTGACTAAGGAGCCTGAGATATAGAAACAACTGAAGTGAGCCCCTTGTGGTCTGAAGGGTCCTTGAAAGGAGGCAGGAAGTCACATAGGAGAGAAAATTGAGACCCTTCTGGCTCAGAAGTTGGAGGAAGTGGCTACAAGCGAGCCATGCAAGTGGCTCTGGAAACTGGAAAAGGCAAAGAGACTTCTTTTGAGCTTTCACAAAGCAGGCAGCCTGTGGACGAGTTCTAGATTCTGAATTCGAAATCTATAAGGGAATACATTATTTTTAGCCGTTAAGTCAATGGCAGTTTGTTGTAGCACAGTAGGAAACTAATAATTCAACTCCTTCACTCTTCTCTCTTCCTTCTTTCCTTCCCTGTGCTACCTGATGAATTAGTTTGAGCCAAGATGTTAGCAACTAATACCATTCATTCATTCATTCGTTCGTTCGTTCATTTACCTTGTAGTATTTATGATGCCATTCACAGGATGTGGTAGGCTCTGTGTTAGCAAAGGATGTTACCATGGTGAGAAAAACAGGCAGTTCCTGTCCTCACAGACCTGACATGCCAGTCAGCCTGGGAAGCACAGTGCTTGAACCATGATCTTGTTGGATTCTCATGGACATCCTACAGACCAGGTAGAACAGGGACCAGTTATCCCCACGTAATAAAGGAAGAAACTGAGAATTTACTCAGGGCCAACAGCCTGTAATTCATTAATGAGCACTAGAATCCATGTTTCTGAGTCTCTCTCTCTCTCTCTCTCTCTCTCTCTCTCTCTCTCTCTCTCTCTCTCTCTCTTTATTTTTTTGCTGGTTCAGGCTGCCTTAAGAGCGGGTCTAGTGCTGCTTGTGGTGTTAGGAATCGAACTGCAGTCCCCTGACCCTGACTGATTTTGCCTAAGCAGGTGCTTTAGACAACTGAGCTATCCCTCAAGCTCAGTCTCTTAATCTCTTAACATTCCCAGATTGCACAAAGATGAGAGGCTGTTCACATCTTACACTATAGAAATCTGAACACTGAGCACATTGCTTGGGACCTAGTGAGTGTAAAATCAACATTTATTAAATGAAAACATGAACAGTCTGCTTGTAGGAATTAAAGGACTACAAGGAAATCTCTAAAACTACACCTTTTTCTGGGGGTCACTGTCCACACTGCTCATCAGAGTTTCTATGAGTCCCTGCCCAGAGTCACTTACAGTGGAAAAGCCAAAGACAGTCAAGAAGCTTAACATCTAGTCTTCTTTTCCATTGCCTCACTGTGTGACCTTATGCAACATCTTCTCCTGGCTAGACATCAGGATTCGAAAGTGGCAGGACTGGATAAAGGAATGTTTAACCTCTGCCTTAACCACTCCATACTGAGTCTTTCTCTTATTTAGGTCCCAGAACCCACTGGCCAAGCTCCATGGTTCCTCCATCTTGGAAAGACACCACTTGGAATTTGGCAAAACCTTGCTGAGAGATGAGGTAGGATGAGGCCCTCTGCACTGGCTGTAGTTCCTGGACTAAGATCTCCATGTTATAAGATGCTTGAGGGTCCCCATGCAGCTTCTGTCCTTCGGCCCGGGCTGCCATTCTCTCTGGTCATCCAGGGTAGCCATGTAGGTGGGTGACTTTATTGCCAGCATAGTTTTTCATTTCTCTCCTCTGGTTTTCTCATCAGAACCTGAATATCTTTCAAAACCTCAATCGCCGCCAGCATGAGCATGCAATCCACATGATGGACATTGCCATCATCGCCACTGACCTTGCTCTGTATTTCAAGTTGGTACTTCTTGTTTTAATAATGACATAATTATAATAACAACACACAGTGCTGGTTGATTTTTCTTGTGAACCAGGCCCAACTCTACAGCTCTGGGCATTATATTACCTCCATTCTCCAGATGGGGACACTGAGATCCAGGGCAAGAGACTGCTAAAATCAAATTGCAAATCAGAGGCAGACTCTGGTTTAGAATGTCAGTCTGCAGGCCCTGGCTATGGTTCTTTTACCCTTGCTTAGCTAATTAAATTTAATGAGCCCTCATTTGAAATAGCCAACTTCAGCAGCCCAGGCGTTGCCTTGTTGTGAGACTTCCTTTAACAAGTGTGTACCTGTGTGTTTGGTAGGAAGAGGACAATGTTCCAAAAAATCGTGGATCAGTCGAAGACATACGAGAATGCGCAGGAGTGGACACAGTACATGATGCTGGAGCAGACGAGGAAGGAAATCGTCATGTGAGTCGAGGTGGAGCTAGCTCTTGGCCCTTGTCGGCCAGGTCATGAGGTGGGAGGGTGCCCACCAGCCCTTGCTGCTTCAGCACAGCCGGGGACGCTTGTCATCGGTGAGCTGTGCACACGAGGCAGAAGTTCTGCCCAAATTACATGGCATAAGTTATGATGTATGTTTGATCTTTATTTAGCACAAAAAATAAGACAATATGTTTTTGTTTTCTTTCTCTGTACACAAAAGTATATGTGAAGACTACCAATTATAAAAATCTATGATTTAGGTGGTAAAGTTATATAACTTTCACTTTTTTGCTAAAACCCAAAGCATTACACTGATGAAATTTGAATGATAGCTATAGATCACTCAAGATGTACAAGGCTTGGAATGAAGATGTGACTGAGAGGCAGAGAGCTCGATTAGCAGGCATGAGGCTCCAGGTTTGACTCCCCAGTAATATATATGATACATGCATATAATATATGATATATCATATTACATATATAATATATTATATAAAATATAATATGTATAATATATTATATAATATATGATATATATCATAGGCTTAAATTTTTAGCTATTCCTTTATGTGACAATGCCCTGCAATATTATTTATGCTATTCACAAATTAGCTATATGATTTATGTGTATGTAATTTATAGTGTATGCTGAACTAGCAATGGGGTCTATAACAGAGATCCAAATTGAAGGTGACTGGTAAATATTTCCCCTTAGTCCTTTCCATGATTCAGTTTAATCGATGAGAGGGTGAGGTGTGTCCATCTAAGGCCTTTATGAACACGTGGCCTATGCCAAACGATCCTTGCTTCTCTGCGATGGGTCCTAGGCAGTGGTGGTGATGCCCAGGAAGAGTCTCAAGGAAAGATAAGCCCTGACCAGATCTGAAGGAAGCATCAGGCTGCTTGCTTATTCCTGGATACTTCCGTGTAAATGAGGTGTGATTCAGTTACAAGAAGTGCAAGACTCTGCAAGCTAGAAGAGGCAGACCCTGAGGCAGGGGAAGGAAGAGCATCTTGATGAAGAGCAAATTGCTCCTTCCTCAGCCCTGCAGTTGCCCACCCAGGCGTGTGGAGCAGTGTGACCTCTTCCCACAGAACAAGGGAGCTGAACTGAGGGAGCTGAACTCAGGTGGCAGCTGCCCCAGGCAGACCAGGGTCTGCCCCACCAGACCTCTAAAAATGGCACAGCAGAAGAGTCACATAGGCGGAAAGAATACACGTTGTTGGTTGAAGTGTTTAAGATTAAAAAGTTATCTATTCTCCATAGTTAACCATTCATTTAAAGTAGATACAGGGTCTGGGGAGGTAGCTTGGTGGGCTAAGTGCCTGACTGGCAATCATAAAGACCGGAGTTTAATCCCTGGTACCGTATGGCCTGCGGGATCTAGAACCCAGGTGCACCAGGCAAGACCCTCTAGCAAATAAGAAAAGAAAAAAGGAAAAAAAAAGGACAGGAGTGTCTTTTAGGGCTGGCCACATAGCTCAGTGGACTAAAGCACCTGCTTAAGCAGAGCGCGGCTGTGGCTGGTGTTAGATTCTGATCTAAGAGTGAAACCCTGAACACCCTGTAGACCCTTCCCTAAAAAAAAAAAAAAAAAAAGTTTGGAACTGATTTTTTTTTTTTTCCAAAATGAAGTAATTTTTTTTTTTTTTTTTTTTTTTTTTTTTGTGGAACCGGGGAGTACAGGGTCTACAGGGTTTCACTACGTAGACCAGACTCGTGATCCTCCTGTTTGCAGCCTCCCAAGAGCTGGGATTACAGGTGTGCACCACCACACCCAGTCTCAATTGCCAGTCTCAGCATGCCCCAGGGGAAGGACCAGCACAGCAGGCCCAGGGATCAACCTCCCACCCCCTGCACCTGCTTGCAGATGCTTTAATCTGCTGAGCTATTTGGCCAGCCCTCCCAAACTCTTATGAGAAGTAAGTATGCAAGAATAGGCAGAAAATTCTGAAATAGAAGGGTATTAAGGCAGCTCAGTCTTAGCTCATCAGGGACAGATGGCTAAGTCAGTGGGACAGGCCGGAAGGACCATGTACATGTTAGAGTAAATTTTGGACTTTGACTGGATAAAGGCTGAAGTTTGGTATTGGGACAATGGGGTGGCCTGGTCTCATATTGTATACTAAAGTGAATTGCAGATGAATGAAAAAACCTTAAATAAGGGGGAGAGGAATTGAAAATAATAACTTCACAGTGGCTTTTTCTACATGTGACCTGAAATTCATAGGTTATAAAAATAGGTGAAAAAAATTGCAGTATCTGTTCACCACACACAAAAATTCAAAACTGAAGTCAGAATGTGTTATAGGCTGAGGAAAAATATTTGCAACACTTTGTGTGTGTGTGTGTGTGTGTGTGTGTGTGTGTGTTTCTCCTATTTTCAGCCTCCCAAGCACTGGGATTACAGGTGTGTGCCACCATGCCCAGTCTCATCGCCATCTCAGTATGCCTCGCGGATGGGGCCAGCACAGCACACTAGGGATTGAACCCCGGTCCCTGCTCTCTGCCTAAGCCTACTTTTGACAGAAAATGCGCCAATTTCCTCTGTAAATGTTAATACAACTCAAGAAAAAGACTAACCCAACAGAAAGTACATGAGAGGCATGAACCGATATTTCCCAGAAAAGGAATTACAAGGATGTAAACAAATGAAAAACATGATTTGACTCAAAATGAAAGAAATGCAAAGCAAAACTAAAATGAGATGTGATTATTCATCCACTCCTCTTGCTAACAGTGAACTTGTTTAACCCACCATGCTGACCAGAGCAAGGGGAAAGAGGCCCCTCCCCTGCGGTGGGCGAGTGCAGCCTCTATGGAAGTCCCTGGAGTCACACTATCAAAAGTGCAAATCTCCTAGCAGTCCTACATGCAGGATTTCCCAGCCAGGTATTTCCCCTTGTGTATCAAAGAGTATGTAGAAAGGCAGTCACTGCCACATGATTAGCATTTACAAATAAGATTAAAGACAATTTAAATACCCACTGGGACCCAGATTAAAGAAATGATAGGGCTGGTCAGATAGCTCAGCTGACTAAAGTGCCTGCTTAAGCAGGCACAGGGCCCAGGTTCAACTTCTGGTGTGCTGGGAGTCCGACCTACATGGACCTTTTTTTTTTTTTTTTTTAGGTACAGAGAATTGAACTCAGGTCCTTGTGCTTCCCAGGCAAGCACTTATTTTATTGAGCTATCTCCCCAGCCCTGGGAGTATGATCTATATAGAGAGACTCTGTAGGCCCTGTACTAAATACAATAAACAAAAAACAACAACAACAACAAAAAACTCCAGAAGCCATTAAAAAAAAGAAAGAAATGATAGTGCTTTCATACAGTGAAATGTCATAGAGATTTTGCAAAGACATGGTATCTTATGAAAGATAAAATCTTAGAAAGAAAGAAAAGAAAAAAAGACCAAGACAAGCCTTCAATCATTGTAGTCTTAAGCAGAATGGTCCTCTGTCAGGCATGTAGATCCTCAGGGAAGCCCAAAGCCTCCCAAAGTGCACGTGGCTAGATAGCCTTAGGGAAATCAATCTACTCCCTCTTAATATTGATCTTCCTGAGAAAACCAACGTACAGAAGGTCAGCTGTTCCTCACTCTTCTCTCACTGCAAAATTAAGGCAAATGCCGGGCATGGTGGCACTCACCTGTAATCCCAGCACTTAGGAGGCTGAGGCAGGAGGATTGCTGCAAGTTCAAGGCCAGCCCGAGCTACCTAAGCAAGTTCAAGGCCAGCCTGCACTCCATGGTGAGACTCCGCTTCATAAAACAACAACCACAATTCCAACAACAAAACCAGACCAGAACTAAAACTACAACAGCAGATCCCTCCCCTTTTTGAATTTTCCAACAGTAGCATGTTGCCCAGGTTCGGAGACCTCTAGGTCATCAAACAGACAAACTGTATGAAATTATGGTATCTTAAAAGCTGCTTTGGAGCAAGGCCTCATAAACTTAAGGGATGGCTTCAAGCCTTCCCTGTCTCATGTGCTTGGGCTGACATACACATTTCCACAGAACTCCTCTTATACCAGATATGAGGGCCTGTCCTCCTCTACCAACAAGCCTCTGGCCCTCTGTTACCCCCAGTGGGATGTGCTGCACCTACTGCAGTGCTCACAGTGTCTACATGGAGTGACATAAGGTGGGGGTCACTGAGATGTTTTCAAATGTACTTACTTGATTGAAAAATATAGTCACAATCTTTCTGACCGATTCCACAAATTAAGGGTTCCTTCCTACTAAATTGCCCTGGATTATGATCTTGGGTCTGAAATCTGTGTACTTACTACCAACTGGCTACAAATCTGGGATTTCCATGACTCCCTCCTCAAGTGTGACGATTTGCTAGAACGTCTCACAGAATTCCAGAAAACACTTTGCTCACATTGCCCAGTTGATTATAGAGGATCTGATTAAAGATTGCAGAGAAACAATCCCATAAAAGCTACCCAAGGTGAGGCTGGAGACACACCGCCCTCTAAACGTGTGGATGTGTCCATCCCTGGTGGTCATCATGTCTAGCTGGGTTTTCATGGAGTTCAGGCTCCAGCTAACACTCCCTTCCCAGAGATTGGTGAATGGGAACCGAAGTTCCAAGCTGTGAGCACTGAGTCTCCCTGGTGACAGCCCCAGCTCGAGGCTGCCTAGGAGAGCATCCTAAGTCACCTCACTCGATGAACTCAAGTGTGAGCAAAACGGCCCCCTCATGTATTACAACAGATGCTCCTATGGTCAGGAAATGCCTTGGTTTTTAGGAGTTCCGTGCAAGGAACTGGGGACAAGGATCAAAGGTGTTTCCTGTTATATCACGTATATATACAATATTTTAAAAGCAAAACAAAGCATTGAAAATGGAGAGTTTTATTCTGGGTTGTACAGCAGGTTGGTAGATCAAAGGCATTTTTAAATTTAACAGTCATACTCCTTTTAGAGGACTTATCACTGTCCAAGGACCATGGTGTTCAAAGGTTCAACAGT